GAATTTTTGCTTGTTTGTCGAATAAGGAGACGAAGAGACAACGAAGAGGCGAAAGTTTGTGTGTTGCAAAAGAAAAACTGATATACAAATTAACTAAATCATGTAGTATATTGGATCTCAATTTTCATAAAAGTCCAATTGTTTTGTGAGCCTAAATAAATAAATAACTTGAGTTTTTTTTTTAAGTTTTGAAATTCAGATTTTTTTGAACAAAAGAGGGTCATCATTAGAACGACAAAAGAAAGAACAGGGTCAAAGCAAATTTGTTTAAGGATATAACATAGATTTTCTTAAAGTAGTAGGGGTCAACTGACCCCCCTTTGGCCTTACTAGTTCCGCCCCTGACCATAGTGACAATGAGGATATGGAAGGATTTCAAGATGTTCAGATGTATGGGGATCAAAATCAGCAGGAGACTGATATGATGCATCATATGCAGGCCGAGGACAATTTAGGAGGGCTGATAGTGAGGAGATAGCTCAGTTAGAGGCGCCACATGAATCTTTGTTTATCTCAGCGCAACATGATGATCTGTTGGGAGGTAGACCTTTACCACTTGCCATCAGGGAAGTTGGTTCCTCATATGATAGAGGTTCTAAAAGGAAAGCTCAAGCACATGACGTTGATGACCTTAGTCCCTCAAACAAGCAGAGAGTGGAAGGCCAATGGAGTGGAGAGGGTTTGGTAGTTCCCCAAGAACCACCAAAGCAGCCATGAGGGCCCCACATTGGAATTGCCAGGGGTTGAGGAACCCCCTGACAATTCCATATTTGAAGGATATCATGCGGCAACATAATCCTTATATTTTGTTCATGATTGAAACTAAGAATAGCTATGAATATGTACAGAAGTTAGGGGAGGATCTAGGCTATACCCATCATTTTATTATTCCTCCTAATGGGTATAGTGGTGGGTTAGCTATCTTTTGGAATGATGAAGTGAGTTGCAGTTTTATAGGGCAACCTACAATGCATCTCGCTGACATGTACATAATGGAGAAGTCCCATACCTTTTGTTTAACCTATGTTTATGGGCATCTAGATATGAGTAGAAGATTATGTCAATGGAGGAAGTTAGTTAATCGCACTGCAGCAGGAGTGTTTAATACATCAAGAGTGCTTGTTGGAGATTTTAATGATATCAAGGATAACAGTGAGAAGTTTGGGGGTTCAAAAAGATCTGAGGCCTCTTTTGCTCCATTTCGGAATATGCTTAATGCTTTAGGGGTGCATGAAGTAAAGACGATTGGAGGTAGATATACTTGGCTTGGAAGAAGATATAAGCATGACATTAAATCCAAGATAGACAGAGTTGTAGCAAATGCTCATTGGCAAGACATGTTTCCCAAGGCTCATGTTAAATTGTTGAATTGGTTGGGTTTAGGTCATAGACCTCTTCTGCTTTGTACTGAAGATAGAAAGTGGAGAGGTAAGAGGCTTTTTAGGTATGATAACAGATGGAGAGGCTTTTTAGGTATGATAACAGATGGAGATTCAGTTCAGAAGCTAAGGAGGTNGTGCAAAGAACATGGAACAGCAATATGAAAGTCTTTCCCCTGCACAATTTAATGTAGCACTTAAGAAGTGTAGGAATAGTCTTGCTGAATGGAAGTCATCTCAGCAAAATAACTCTTTGAAAAGGATCCATGAGCTTAAAGAGCTTATCCAAGCAGCGTATGATTCTCAACCTTTAGACTATTCTTATATAAATTCTCTGAA